CCTGTGTTTTTTTTTTTTTTTTTTTTTTTTTTTTTTTTTTACAGTGCTGGATGTAATGACCAGTTGTATATGTTGGAGATCCTAAGAAACACGTAGCTGCTGATAAGGTCCTAACATCACGATGCTAAAGAAGAATTAACTGAAATGCCTTTTGAATGTTTGTTATTTGATAATCAAAGTTACTTTTCTACAGTAGTTCATCTGTAACATATGTATAACTTTTCCATTTAACACAGAACTCCTTTTGCAGTCATCTGTTAAAGAATATGAATCAATAGAGCATTCAGAACCTTAAAAAGTTGCCTGATTTTTAATTTTTTTTTTTCTTCACTAAGTTATTTTAATTCTGTTCATGCCTTCTCATTCTAGTTATTTTTGCTTCTCTGTTCCCTGTTGTCAAAGGTTTCTTTCATCTCTCCATTTGTTGCCTGCGCTTCTAGGACAGTGGCCTTCATTTGGCCATCTGGAAGGTTGTACCAGTTTGAACAGCTCTTCCTAGAGATTAAGCTGTCTTGGAGGAATTTATGCCATTTGGATATTTTTTGGTTTGTTTTTTTTTTTTAAATCTGTTTTAGTGTTTCACCTAATTGAAAATTTATACTGGAAAAATGGGGGAAGTTAAAATACTAAGGGAGAAACAGGATGCTGAGCACCCTTTTTGTTGCTTTTTATATTGTTTTCCTTACAAAATGGTAATGTCCGCTCTTTTTTCCTCAGTATGCCCAGCAGCAGGTGCAACAGGTGCTGGCAGAGCTGACTGACAGCAAGAATAAACTGACCTGTGACAAAGGAAAACTTCAGGTACCTCTCAGCATCCTATCTGTCAGCTCAAAAGGAAAACTCCTTTTTTTATGTTCATCTAAGATAAGGTTGTTTAACCTTAGCTCTTCAGTACTTAATTTGGAGGGAAGTGCTTATTTATCTTCTCTACTTAATTTATTTGTGTGGTGTCAAGCATGTGTATTAAGAGAGTTCTGTATCAAAATCATCTTCAATCCTGCCCATACTGCCTTTGGGTCACAAGATGCTGTTGATGTAGCTTCTCTAGGATTTGTGGTAAATTTCTTAATGTGTGAAAATAGTAGAATGGCTAAGAACCACCAGGGGGCATTAAAACATAATATATGGGTAGAAAATTGGTTGAAAGATTAGAAACATGGAAAACTTTATAGAAAATACAAATTAATAAGGAGGGAGGCAAACCATGGTGGTAAGCAAAAATAAACAGCATATGTAAGCTTTCTTAAGCAGAAGTTAGCTAGACATTAAATGAGGTGCTGAAAGTAAAGCTTTTGCTTCAATGTGACCTATGTCATAGGATTTGGGACAGTGGTGCAAAGATTCATGAGTTTCTTTTGAAAACAGCACAGAATGTGTAGTGATTATTAGAGAGCAAGAAAGCTACATTTTATGCAGTAGTCCAAGGTCTGATAGTGGTGACAGAAGGAAGTGAGCAAGACATCATGCCTGGATTAAAACAAGGTGAATTCTAATCTGGAGTTATTTCTATTGAAGTGTAAGTTAAAAGCTATTCACTCGCTGCTTCTCCTGCTATGGGACTCAGGGAAAAGAAAACATTTGCTCTGAGCAGAGAGACATTGTCACATCACTCCGCTTCTGTGTTCCAGATAAGAGAATGCTTTTCCATTTCTGCACTAAAAGAAAGCTGAGCTATTTTGCCACATCTGTTTTCTTAAGACTGAAGTGCAGAAGCTGGAGGAAGACCTGTAGATGCACGTTTAGATAATAGTGAGCTTTGCAAGTGCACTGCATAGAGACCACATACACTCTGCTGAAACTGAACTTTGACAACTTGTTACCCCTCAGAATTAGGGTCAGCCTAGCTAATGCTTAGATAGCCATTAGAAATCAGATTCAACCCACTTTTTCCTGAAGAACAGAGTATATGTTTAATGTTAACTGTAGCATTCTAGTCTGCAGCTGGGAACAGAACCTGATTTCATCAAAACAAACATGAGAACTATGGAAGCTCAGCTTAACAGAGCTGTTTTTCATGCAAGTAGATTGCATGTATTCAGGCTAGAAAACACACAGTTTACAGGGTTATAAAGATGGTCCTCAGGATTTATTATTATTTCGCAGTAAGAGAACAAATAGCTGCAGATAATGCTTGTCTAGCTATATTGCTGGGAGGCAGGCAGTTATTCTGCTTCAGTCTGTTCGCTCAGTCTTAGAGAGAAGTACAGAGAAGGGGTGTTTTATCCTGGGCAGTGAAGCCAAGCTTGTAGGTATAAGAATGTGAAATGGACTCTGCTCTGTCATGAGTTTGCTGTTCTAAGCTGTAAGTTCAAGTAACTGCATTGAGACTTCTGTTCACAAGCAAGAATGAACTTGTAACAGTGAATGCTCTTTACAGACTTCCCTTGCTTCTTGGATACCAAAGCAATCTTGTAATCATTTTGAGTTGGAAAACTGAAGAGGCAAAAGTGACAAACTGTTAATCCTAACCATAATCTCCATCGATCTAGAAATTATACAGAAGACGTAACCATGTTTAGGAGACTTCCCTGGAAAACAGGAGGTCCTATTTTTGCCTTCTGTTTCCAGAAAGCAAAATGAATCAAAGTTTCTCTTGTACTTTATTCTCCATCATAGAGGATGGTTCATCAGGTTTTCAAAGGCAATTGGATATTATGTTGATGATTGGAATCCATGACCTGAATGCTTTCAGATTTTGGGAAAGTTGAAACACTCAGTTCCATTGGTTTGTGGGTATAGAGAACTAGCTGTAGAAAGGTCTCACAGTAGGAGCAGACCAGAGAGGTGCTCGGAACCAGGGGACTGCGCTGGCCCTGCAAAGCTGTGACAACAGCTGACATCACAGACTTCTAATGAAGTTCCAGTCAGCACTGTGTCCCACTGCTGCCGAGATACAGAGGGAAGTCATATGACTTTGGATAACGTGCTGTGGAATGTATCACAGAAGAGAGCTTAAATATTTTCCTGAAGTACTGCAGACTTAAGAATAAGATGTAGCATCTACTTCTGCTCCATTGAAGAGATATTTTGGAGAGTATTTTTTAAATTTCTGTTTTTGGTACTCACATCTTCACTACCTCCAAGGGCTGCCTGGTTTGTGGTAGGAATGGCAACAAAAAGAAGAAAATCCCCAGCAAGGTCTTGGCAACAGAAGTCTCCTGATCATAATGCTAGGTCAGCTGCAGGCTCAGGAGAAGGAACTGTGAAATCTGATGTACGTGCTTCTGCTCACCGCTCTACGTTACACCGAGTTCATTTTGAACAAGTTGAACATTCAAGAAACTCTGTGTCTGAATATGGAGATTGTCCTAGGGTCAGTCAGAGGATTCTGTTAAATGCTATAAAGAATATGGGAGAAAAATTGGAGAATATAATAGACATTCTCACTCCAAGATCATTGAAAACTGGGTGGCCTACTGGGATTAATGAAGGAGACTTCAATGTGGTGAGTGATGACCATGAAATGCAAGTTAGAGTGATGGTTATTTCAGTTGACTAATTGACAACAATGAAGAAATGGCTGAAAATTAACAGGGACTGAAACCGTTGAGTGTTTTTTACTTGAAAGAGATGCAGATGAAAACTTAGACTAAGCAACATTAGAATCAACAACTGGTTTTGACTAAAAACCCAGCTTCATGCATCTGTGGCACAACCTGAAGCCTGGGTGCCAGGAGTTCAGAAACATTGGAACTATCAATTAAAACACCCACAAAACCCCCCAAGAATACCACCACACAGTCAGCTTGGGCTTAAACCAGGGGTAGAACAAAGATTATGTAATTAGAGGAAGCTATTTCCATGTTCAGAACCATTGCATACTTAAGTGTGCAGGTTACTTATAGAAGAATCCTTTAATAACACTCTAATAGATGACTGATTTTTCTGCTCCTTTTCCTAATGATTTCTTGTACTGCAGATGGCAGACCTGCAGCACCAGCTGGACGCAGGAAAGGATGACAACAGTAAGGCAACAGCCATGCTGGAGCACGTGTTAGCTTCTCATAACAAGATGCAAGCAGCTCTGGCTGTGGTACAAACTGAGCTGGGACACAAGGACACTGAAATTGGCAACCTCAGAAAAGACAAGTAAGTGAAACTGATGCTGTTTCTGTGGTCTGTCAGCAGTGTGGTGAAGACAGATAACAGCTGAAGAGTGGCATCTTCTCCATGGTTCTGGCTAATAAGCTATAGGACAAGTTTGTTTGAAAAGTTTCCAAAATCCTTTCCTGCAACACTGAAACATACTTAGTACTAGTGAACCAAGTACACCTAGTGCTTGTAGCTAACTCTGCAAGCTTGGCAGGCCTTGTGCATCTTGTGGAAAGTAGGTAAAAAACAATTTAAGTTTAACTTCAGTGACAAGCAAAACTTAGTATGGTTAAGGTGGAGAACCAAACTGTGAGATGGTCACCACTTCAGAGGAGATGTGCACAAATTGACTTAGCGCATGATTTTGTTTTAATCCGATTTCCATTTTCAGGAGCCAGGCTCAACAGAAAATACAGGTGCTAGAAACAGAATTGGAACATTGCCGAGCCAAACTGGTTGCCATGGGAAGGCAGCACAGCAGCCAGGTAGAGACCACATTTTTCCATAGTAACAGCCACCACTACATTTTTGGTGTTGAGCCAAGCACGTTTTCTTTTTCTGAATGCAATATGGTGCAACAAATCATTATCTAAGTGTTGAAGGAGGCAAGCACCTCCTCCCTAAAGAAAAATTCCTTGGCACAGGTGAAGGTTTTACAGTCTGCAGCTGGATACATAGTATGAACAGAGATTTCAGAAGTTATACAGCCTTTCTTTTTTTCTTATTAGATCAGAGAGGAAGAGTCCAAGGAATTGCTGTCATCTCTCCTCATAATACTTAATGGCAGAAAGATTACCTCACAACCCAAACACACTCACTATTGGCAAAGAACTTTTTTTTTTTTTCCAAGAAAGTCATGGCTATGTGAGAAATTGTTCTGATCCTTCTGACTAAGCCAGTCAGTGGATTGGCATTGTAAGGATTCCCATCTAGATGCCTGTGCTTAGGACGTTTGTAATCAGACAGTTGGTGATCTTACCTCCTGTAAGTTGATACTGACTGGGCAGGAAAAAAATACTCCTTTCTAAGCTTTTTCATTTGGGTAAGTGTAAATCTGATTTGTTGTTACTGCACAGGTGGAACCACTTTGTAAGACACTAGAAAGTGCTAGAACAGACAACAAGAAACTTGTTCTTCATTCGGAAGAAGTTCTGCAGGTCAATAATACCCTGCAGAGCAAGCTGGTCCAAGCTCAATATGAACGGAAAAGTAAAGAAACTGAGCACCAACAGCTGATAGTCTGCAGGTAAGACCAGATCCATGATACTACACACTTGAGGAGAAACATTACTTTGCACTAACATCAGTGCTTTATGGCTTTAGTCATCCATCGGTATCAGCATTGACTGTATGCTGAGCCAGCAGCTTGCTAAAGATGGATGCATACAGAGCTATAGAAATGGGTTCTTTCACTCGTTCCCATAATGACTCTTGGACGTACTCTGCTGTACTGAGGAACTGCTTAGCCAGGGTCATTATGGCACTTCTACAAACAGCTTTTCCATGAGGATAGCAGATGTCACTTAGACTTGGAAGTGGCCTGCAGTAGCTATAGCAAGGAGAGCACAGGATAGGTGTTTAAATTCCTCACCCCAAACCAGATGCTAGTAAGTAAAACCTCAAACCTAAGTGTAGGTGCAGTCTGAATCTCCTCATCATCCATTGTCTAAACAGGCTTAGCCATTTAATTTTCTGAAGGAAAGTAAGTTGTCCTAAAGTGTTCTTTCCAAAAAGTCTGTTTACATTGTATAGCTATTTTGAACCTCCTTTTAAATAAATGGAATACAAAATACTAGAAGACACATTCCAGTCTTTAAACAGTAGTGGTGCGGAGAGTATATCCAAGACAAAAGTACTTACAATGGAATTGTCTTTCCTATTCTTGTGTTTATAAAATAAAGCGTATTAAATATAAACATGAATAACTGAATTTATTTCTTCTCTTTAAAGGGAACAGTTAATGGAAAAAGCCAAGACTGAGGAAAAGATGTATGCTGAACAGTTAGAGTCTTTGAAGAAGCAGTTTCAAACTGAACAAGAGGCTTCCAGGAAAGCTGCCTGTCAAGAATCTGCTGAGGTGAAAAGGGATAGAATTAAAAGATTTCAGAGATTGATTTCCAGAGAAAGAGGTCTGCTGTACAATTTTCCAACAGAACAAGAGCAGCTCATGACAAATACTTGTCTCCCTTTCCATTCACTGTGGAGTTGTCCATCACTTGTACCCAAAAAGCAGAATTTTGTCATGTGGTGGACAGACATTTTGGTGGCCATGCACAGTGATTATCTGTGGTCTCTTAACTTTTTCAGGTACCACTCTATATCCCCCAACACTGTATACCTCATTGGTATAGACATTGGTATCAGTCATTCCAGTGACTTCAAAAGGATAATCTGGGGTTGTATAGAAATTTCCAGGGATAAAATACTGGTTTGGAAGTCTGCTTTGTTTCTTGGGGGCTGGATCATAAAGCTCAGCATAACCTTAGTATTACTCAGATCCCAGCATTCACTTTTTTCCCCCCCCTTTGTTAGAAGGGTATTAAAGAAAAGTCAAAACACCAGGTGCTGTAGCACACTTCAGATGCAGCAAATCAATTGGGTGTACTGCTTATTAATTGTTGTATAGAATGAACTAATTCTTAGAGTTAATGTGAGCTCACTTTTTCCTCTTTCTCCTAGATAAAGAAATCCCTTGAAGAATCCTCCTCCAAATTGGCTGAAGTTTCCTGTGCTAACAGGGAGCTGCGGCAGAAATTAATAGAGCTGGAAGAGTCATTGTCCAGTTACAAGGAAAAGCTAAAAAGCCAAAGAGCTCGAATCAGACGATGCCTGACGTATAAAACTAAGACAGAAAGGGTAAAGGTATGCACACATTTTTCAAGAAGGACAGATATCCTAGTTGAGAACTCCTTTTTTCTCCTACTGAGTAGGACTGCTGTTGATCCTTTGCAGTGGAGTTAGACTTGAAAATAAAACTAACTCTGGACTCAAATTCTGAACAGAAATGAATAGATTGATTGCAGCTACAGTAATTGTGTGGCTGCTTCTGTCATCCCTCCCCCCGATATTAAATATGATGCCATAGGGTCCCATGCCCCCATTATATTTTTATAGTAGCGTTTGTTCTTTTTATCATTTTGTGAATACAGTCTATTTAATTATTGATTGGGCCAAATATTGTTTGTATAGTGATTAGTCCCTTTCCGTCCTTTATAGCTGTAGAACTTTTGGTTCAACTGGTAGCTGATCCTAAATGAGAATCTAGACTCCTTTGCAATTCTGTCACTGCTTGTTCCCCTTTCTGTGGTGGGGCATGGGTTCTCTTAACTTCAGTCTCACAGGGCAAGAAATAAGGACACAATATGCAGACATCTGCAGAAACAGTTCCCATGTAAGAGCCAGTGAGCCTGAAAAATTCCTGAAGTTTTGTTTCTCTCAACAATTTCCAGGAGACTGAATCTGAACTGAGGAAAATGGAAGCAATAAACGAGGAGTATCAGAAGAATTATGAACAAGTGAGCTTTCTCAACCAGTTTCCTGAAGAGACTGATCTGCTAAAATGTTGTTGGAATTTCATTCTTGTCTTGTCTTCAGTCACAGGACATCAAGAAATTTGTGTCAGACTTGAAAAGTGTGCAGAGCAAGATGCAAGTGTTGTTGAAAAACCAACATGAAATGCAAGTGCAGAACAGGCAGCTGGAGACCCAGGTGGAAGCAGAGAGAAGACAAAGGCAACAGCTGGAAAACAAATGTCAGGTAAAGTGATAGTAGCATGAAAAAGTGGTGACACCCATGGAAGCATTTTTGTGCAAAATCTATGGGGTTGTAGAAGAGGTGATAGAAAGACTTTATTAACTCAGTCAAAAGATATTCCTATAAATCTTACTGTGTCTGCTCCAGAAAGCCCAAGTAACAACTTAACATACATTCACTATATATCTTGACTTTAGAGAGAGACAGGATAGGTTTTTTTAAAAAAGATTTAACTCTAAGCTACAGTAAAGATTAGAGAGTCCTTCTGTTGTATTGCAATTTTTTGTTTGTGCCATGAAAAAATTGTATAGAAATTAATGTTACTTCTTTTTCTACCTAGAAACTGGAAAAAACAGTCAAACATCTGAAGAAATATAAAGTGGAGACAGAACAGAAACTGAAGGAAGCCAGCATAGAGTCAGAACAGGTGAGACTGGTTAGCATTGGAATAATAATTCATTGGAAGTAACAAGATAGTATTTCAGTATCTGCACCAAGTAACTCTTTAAATCTCAGATATGGGTCTCTGGTGAAGAGTGAGGTGCCTCCTTGGCCTTTTCAACTAAGTGGCCTTTATCATACTTTAAAAAAAGAAAAAAATTGATGTTTCTATCTTTTTGGTGAATTGCTTCAATTTAGTGGGGCTTCTAAGAAGAGCTTTTGTCCCCCCCAGCCTATTGTTTTTATCAGGCACGGGATATCTGTCAACCAACCTACCAAAAGTGTTGTGGCCAAGTAAATTGCCCCCCCTCCCGAACTGCTTTTATGTCACTCTATATGTGACATCATGCAAACCCACATTTTCCACCCCCTCTCCCCACCCCAAGAAGTCATTTGTCCTTGCATCACCTCATGCTTGCACGACTGTACCACAATATCCAAATTATTATAGCTTGCATGGATTACTATAGTAGTTTGGGGTGAAAATCTAGGCATTTAGATGTTTTGTAGAGTATTAACCAGCCTAAAGTAAAATTAAAGAAGTAATAGAGGTGCCTCAGCCTGAGGTCTTACATGCTGCTTACCAGTCCAAGTACTGTTCTGTGATTAGAAAGAGACCTTAATAGTAAAAGAGTATCTCTACGGCATTCTTCAGGCAAAGTTAGTCTTCCCACATCTTTCTCAGGAGTTTGTGGTACTCAGCATCCATTTCCCCCCCGCCTTCTTCCCAATGCTTCTGCATTTTATGCTGTATTGGAGACCTGTGTTGACTTCATTACACTCCCCCCTGCCCCTCCAAAAGTGGGGCAACTTTGTAGTGAGGACCTCTCTGATACATCCTTTTCACAGCAGTGGAAAAGGGCATCATGAAGAGCTCCTATCCCTATGTACAGGAGAAAGATTGAGTTGTATGTTGTTCTGCCCCTTCTTGCACAGAGCTCAAAAACTGGAACAGCATGCATTAACTGTTCTCTCTGCAGTTCTAATTACACTGTCTTGCCTAGATCACAACTAGCCTAGAAGCAGCTCACCGTTGGTTCAAATCTAAGTTTGACAGCCTGCAGCCCGAAGTTGTGAAAAACCACCAGCCAAAGAACCCTGAAGAGAGCAGCTCTAAAAAGGACGCAAAGAAAGCAAGCACATTCATTTCAAAGAGGGAAGCAAAGAAAATAGGTGGGGGCAAGTATTTGGTAGCTCATTATCAGTCAGGATTTCAGTCTCCTAAACTTTCTTTTCTAGTTCCTTACACAGGGGTGGAAAACAGACCCCTCTTTAGTTTAGTTTGTTTCCTCATCTTTTTTCCAGAGGACGTATTTAAGCAGCAAAGAATTATTACAGGTATAAGATAGCTTCAAGGGATTGTTTCTGTACTTAGAAAAGTCCTATTGCACATACTTCATGTTTCGTTGATGCTCATTAACCAAATACTTGTCTGAAAGCTTAACAGCTAGTATATTTTCTTCTCTGCATTCACCTGTTGCAGTGGTTCTTCTTCCCCTCCTCCATACCTTTTACAGATACCCTTTCAAAAGCTGTGCTTACCTCGATTGTGTAGATTGTGTACATCAGCCTTCTCCATAATTGATAGTTCTTACATAGCTGTGCGATCAGCTTTTTAGAGATGTATGTATTAAACTGCTAAAACTTTAATCTCTTCTTTAGTAATGACAAAGATTCCCCAGTCAGTCATCAGCTTCATAAAACGTTGCATCTTTTCCCAGGAGCAAAAGCAACAAGAGCTTCCCACTCACACCTCCCTGGACAGCAGGGCAAGGACCCAAGGCCTCCAGCTCACCACCAGGAAGGCCCACGTGAGCTGGGCAGGAAATGAGCTCACTTGACTGGTGATTCCCAGCCCAGGGAGAGCTTCGCTTGCTGCCAGGACACTACCTGCTAGTACCCAGGTGCTGGAAGGATCGGGAACTTTACTTGATCTGATATAGTTAGATAGGTCTGTATCGCTAAGAAGGTCTTGCAAATTAAAGGTGCTCATGGGGCACCCATATATAGGGGACACAGGAATGCTTGTTTAAATCATAAACTCTGATTTGAATTAACTAATACCTCTCACCTTGTCTTTTTGACTCAGGTGCTTTGCATTGTGAGATTAGTATTTACAAAACTACTATTTATAGCAAAACAATTATTCTTTATCATTACTGTAAACTATATGCTGTTGATATGCTGCATCTTTGCTTTTGTCACTTTTCTTTTACCAGCTTTAGGCTAAGGCCTGGCAGGTGCTATCAAAACAAATCTCAGACTGATTTGCAGAGGGTTCAGGTGAATTACTGAAGACTGAGTCATATGTCTGTGGCTCAATGCTGACGTGACTGGGACAGGGAGGAACTTGCAGGACTGGCTGCTTCTAATGGCTGATGATACCTGGGTCATGAGAGAATATCAGCCTTGGGCTATTTTAGGAGTATATAAGGAATTCATGAAGTATGTGATGTTATACCACACATCATCTTACCTTCATAAGAATTAGTGGAATGTGTTCAATGTGTTCTACTGTGGAACAACACACTGGGGAAAGAGTAGTTGAAGCAGATGACTTACAGTATGTTGAAGATGATTGTAACATGGACAGTTTCATGCTTGTTCAACTAAGGATCAGCTCATCTTTGTCATGGCTTACTCTTCCATGTGGTATCAATACAACCTAGCTTCAGTACATGTGTTGTTGCACTTTAATCTGCTTCAACAGAGCTGTTTGCAAACTCCTCTGTGATCAATGGTATCTATACATGCTATTTGCAATACTTGTTTAGTTTAGTGGGGAGGGAAGTCCTGCATACCTCTGGAGCCTAGGCGCAGCCTGAGGACACACTGGAATTAGCTCATTCTGCTCCTCCAGAAATTTGGTCCTCAACTATAACTTACATACTAGGACTCTGGACTAATCCATGGTGACCTAAGCCTCTCCTTGAAGCAAATGGCTATTCTAAGGAACAAGGGGTGGCTAAACACACTATTAAAGCTAATGCACACCTGAGTTTAATAATTAAATTGTGCTGCTTAAAAGCAGGCCTATACAATATGGCTTTAGGTTTGTCCCAGTCAAGCTGGTTCCTTCAGAAATCGACTGGCATCTATGCCACACCTGCTCGGTAAAGCTGCTTGGGTGGCTTAGCATAACCTGTGCCTCTCTGCCTCCACAGTGCCCTCAGGCACACAGCAGTCAAAACTGTAATCTAGTTTTGCTTGCTATGAACTCTGTAGAGTAATCACAGCTGAAAAACAGTCGTCTCAAATAGCACTTACCCTTTAACACTTTTGTTTAGATTGAATGCTTAAGTAGGTTGCCTAACAAGGGACAAATGATTGTGACCTTTGCCTGTGCAAAAGGACAAAGCATATGGCAGCTGCATTTGTATGAACTGCATGTTGGCAGGGCAACAGCACCAATCACCCCTCTGTTTTCCCTCTGCGGGAGTTGTTTTACCAACATACACTATACCGCAAGGGCTGGTTCTTCACCCCTTCCTTGTTCCAGAATCCCCTGCTCTCTCTAGGGCCATGCATCTGCAGTTACTTTGTATATTGAAATGCAGGCTCTGATTATATGGCTGCAGCCATTAAACTTGGTACTTTTGTTTGCGTAGTGACAGTCTAGTCCAGGTTCAACAAATCCTGTTGCTTCTTCTAAGCCTGTTTGGGGTTTAGGGTGGAAAGCAGTAAGATACATGGTGTAATTGTGAAGGGATTACTGCCTGCCAGTACCTTTTAACTTTAGCACTACGTTAACTTTTGGCTATACCTGTTTCAGTCAAGTGATGCAGCTCAGTGGGTCACATGCAGAATGAAAAAGCTGGTCCAGATGTCCAGGATGTGTTTTGCATTGGTTTTTACTTCAGAGTTGCTCTAGTCTGATCCTGCTGAGTGAATGCTCACTAGCAAGTGCAACACTTCTGGAAGCCATCTTCTAATTGCTTTCATTTGAAAGGAAACTAGTTTGTCTGCTCAGAGCCTGCTCTGCAATGTGAACCACAGCATGGTGAGTGGCAGCTCACCCATGTGAAACATCACAAGTACACACTAGACAAGGACTTTTTATTTTCTTTAAACACAGTCATTTCAATAAAGTTGTATTAACCTAACACTGCTGCCACCTGCAGGATCAATTATTGAGGTCCACATTGCTAGCCTTTCCCTGGGCTTGGTAGCTGCTAAGCCTCTTAGTTATAGTAATATTTGCAGCATTTAAAATGAATTTTCTAAGCAGTGAAAAGGTGGTTGTTTGTTTGGGTTTTTTCCTGTCAGTCTGGCCTTCAGCAAATGTGGATGGCAAACTGCTTTCTACACATGTCAATGGTGGTATCATGTAAGAACAACTGTAAAGGTATGATTCAGTTTTTAAGACAAATCAGTAGATGCTTTTATAAGCAGTCTTTTAAGTATGGCTTGAGTTAGTGTTTTATATAAAATAGCTCTTTCTTCAGCAATAAACAGCTATAAAAATTATCATGGTTAAACCAAGTAGTTTGACAATATATGTAGTGTGTTTGAAACTGTTACCAGTTCTGTTAAGGTACAAGCAATAGGATTCTGAGTATTTCAGACTCAGTTTTGGAAAAGAATAATGCACAGAGAATCTGTGTACTGGATCTCTGGCTTCTGTTTTCTAAGCATTAGTTCAGTGCAGAGGGCTGTATTTCCTGGGACATGATAAAACTTTTTGCATATGAAGGGACAGGAGTCATTTGCTGCAAAAAGAAAAAAATCAATGGGGTTACAAGATGTGAAAAGGCCAATAAAGAATAAGGAAAACTTCAACAGAAGAATTTTTACCCCGGGATGACAACAGTACTATGCTTGTACATACATTGTGAGTCAGCTCCCGTTCACACAGCAAACAGTTGGCTCTCATATCAAAAACAGTGATGAGGTATGACCAAGAATGAGAAACAAAATGGAGGTAAGGGAGTCATTCTCTCCCTTACTCTGCAGCTTATGAATACCCCAGGCTAACACAACTAAAATGGTTATTTAATTTATAGTTCTGCAAGCTTAGCATGGGACTTGTATTTAGGCAGTGCTGCCAGGTACTATTTCCAAGTAAAACATGCTGTCCTTTTGCAAGTTAGTGAGACTTTCTTGGTATTTGTCTCTTACCTTTGTATTCTCACTATCTCTAGTGAAGTGGACATACAACATATTTTAATTTAACGTTGAACTTGAGATAAAATTGCCTTACCTTTAAAATTAGTCTAGGCAATTCCACCAGACTTGTTTCTTAATCTGATTGCAGTTGTGTGAAATGATTACAGAACATAAATACATATAAAAGTGGGCTGTAAGCACATAGCGGTAGTTAGCTGTGATACTTTAAGTAACGAGTGCTTGGGAGGCAACAGCATGGTTTGTTTTCTATTCAGCAAACTACCTTGCTGAAAAATATTCTTCAGCCTTATTTTTCTGTAGTGCATAACATACATATATCCATTTCTATATATACATATAACTTTATACTCTATGATAAAATATTGCATCTTGCTTCTCTTGCTGGTTTGGAAGCAGCATGCTTCCACCATCATATGCTACTGTTCAACTGTCAGAAATAATTAAAAAGCCAGACTGTTTGCAATGTATGTTAAATAACAAGGTGTATGATATTATTATATTAATTTTTGCTATAAGCTATTCAGTGGGATATATGTTTGCTGAGAAGGAGTAAACATTATCATTAACCTCAGCATTTTTACTAACAAATTCAGAAGAACAAAGGTCACACTGATTTCGGTAAAACAGAAATTGATCTCCTTCAAATAGAACAGCTGCTAGGAATATGAACTCCTAGAAAATTCTGAATACTGTAAAGATCTTGAAACACTGAGTTCTCCATCCTCTAGGGATTAGTATGAACCCATTTCTTCTATATTGTATTTTAATTCTGCACATTAAAAAACCCTCATCACCAGTGAATATGGCTTCTTGAACAACCTCACTGGTAACTAGTTGTAATATTGCACATCATTGTGAATTTTCCCCCAAAAAACCAAACAAACAACAAACCACACTGGGCTTCAGTTTTCACTGTTTGATTCTATATACAAGACAGTGTCAAATTACAGAGCAGTGCATCAAAGCAGAAGAGCCAGTAACAGACACACTTGGGCATGTCAGTGTTGTACTCGGAACAGGTGGTTTCCATCCATATGTGATACCGTTCAAACATCAGAAGTAGAAAAAGTCCATAAAGCTATATACAGCACAAGTCATGTCTCTGACCATCTATAAAAAAAACAGTACATAAATCCAGTTTCCCCAGCACTGCATAATGCAAAGGTTAATATAAAGAGTATCAATTCCACCTGCCACAAACCTCATCAAACAACTGTGTAGGTATACAACATCTTTTGAGCCATTCTAGTATTTCCGCTGCTCTGATAAATAAGTGACAAGTTAAAGGCAGTATCTCTTCTCAAGTCTGTCTGATCAGTTTCTATTCCCTGTAAAAATAATTATTAAAAAAAGTTAGCTGTATGCAAAAATAGTATAAAACTTAAAGACATGAGTAGCAACTACAATGGAATCAAATCACATATTCATGGTTTATATAGGCTTTCAGCTGTATAGAAACAAAAGAATTATTCCTTGTGCCCTCCCTCTTTAATGAGTTTCCAGATGTTGTTAATCACCAGAGTTATATAATTACATAATCAAAACATTAGCTGTAAATTAGATAGGCAGCTCATAAAACAGGAAAGTACTATCTTAATTTGTCTTTGTATGCAAAGTATTTGTTTCTACAATCAGAATGTGAATACTGCCTGTATCTGTTACATGGTCCCAGGATTGCTGCTTTGAACTCCCAGCACTGGCTAACAAACACCCATATTTATTACTTTACCAACCCTTCCCATTTTCTAAATACACTTGTAATTTTTCTACCTACCCATGCCAAAGCTAGGTAAAAAAAAAAACTTCTCTCAGAGCAGACTTGTAAATGTATAACACATCAATTAGGATGATCTAATACAGATCAATTAGAGCAAAACCATGGTTCAGACGCATGCCAGCATTCTTAAGACTGGTTCATATTGCCCTGGCATGCTGTTTTATAGCATGAGTGGGTATATAGAACTTCCAGTTATAATTTATTGCATGTAATATAAATAAAGTTCAGCTCTTATTCAGGTAAAGTTGTTTAGCAACCTACTCCAGCCTATTATTAATCCTTCAAAATTCATAAACGTTTGAAATTAACACACGCGTATATACATTACCAGGTGACAATCAGATTTGGGCTTCCAATGACAAGGAACTACAATGCAAATTAAAGGAAACTCACCTACACAGATTTTATGTACTTACTTTAACTATGGCTGAGAAGTTATTAACATCGACCTGACTTTATTCTCTGTACATAACCTAAAAAGATACAGTACCTCTAAGGTAAGAGGAGGAAGTTCAAGTACTTTTTGGTAATAGTGGATTGCCAGGTGGAGTAATCCCAGCTGGTGAAGACCACGGCCAAGGTTGTAGAAAGACTCTTGACATGGTCCACGCAGGTCCAAGTACCGGTGAAGGAAGGAGAATCCCTGTACACATACATATTAAGCATGTTTGTGACTGTTCCCTTTAAGAAGATGGCAGTAAAATATGCTGGAGAACAGGTGTTTAAATGTTCTATTTAAAATTTTGACCTATACTTCCCCACAAAACCACATGCAAGTTGAAGGCAAAAAGTAAGTCACGTTTGATTGTTGAGACCATAAAAACTGCTCTGTCAGTCTCACTGCCATTGCTAACAAAGAGGAGATCTTTTTAGTAAACTGAACACAGTTATTTAGTATAGTGACAGCACTAGCTTGCTAAATATGTAAGTATGTATGTACGTGTTTATGTACTATACACACAGATAAGATGATTGGTTCATATTTGGAAGAGCTGACCACCTTAGAAAACATGCAGCCAAAGGACAGGCTAGAGCAAGATCTTATTTTTCTTAAAAACATCTTTAAAAAGATAATCCTCCTCCACTTTTTTTTTTTTAAAGGAGAAAAAAAAAACCCAAACCTTCATTCCCCTTCCTTCACTCTTTGCCTTGGATAGTAGCAAGAAATGGTTTAATTCTACAACTTTTCAGAATTCTACAAAATTCTTAACTCCCTGAAGTACATATCAAAGTGTTATTTCTGGAACGCAAGCATCTTCTTTTCCTGATCTTGTGCTCCATATAAATGTTTACTCCAATACCAGTTACCAGGGAAATTATCAGTGTATCATTTTATAAAGTGGCCAAAAATAAATGTCACTGAATAAGGGCAAGAAAAACCCATACATCCTAAGCAATTGGTGAGAGTTCATGTCCCTTCTTGAAGCCAGCAGATGGTTTACTGCCAAGTCTCCACCAGAATCTGAAAGGAAACTCATACCCAGCAATTCCAGTGCTATGCTTTAACAAATTGAAAGTTGAAGCACCCTGTAAGTGTTGCATTTTATTTTGCTTTTAGTTTAAGATTAAAATATATGCTCATATATTTAAACTGTATGGCTAGCAGAATCACAGGTGTACATAATTTCATTGCCAACTCTAGTCTGAATACCCACTCCTCCTCTGTGGCACGCTGTGGTTCAGACAGAGGAGCAGGACGCAACAGGTACTACGTGCCTATTTGGGTGCTGATGTCCCAGAAGATGTAAAACAGGGCAATGCATAAAGCAACAGTGACCAGGCACCAGTGGAACAAACTAGTCCCATTTATACACTGGCGTGCTGTAAAGCGAGAGAAGTGATTTGTTTCTCATCTGTAGGATGTCACTGCCTACCAGCTTGGTGTGTTACCGACTCACCGTGACTCAAGGTTTGTATGATGCTATAAAGATGAATGGCATTAGACCACACCTACCTCCCATACAGAACAAAAGGAAAGACAAAGAAAGAGGCATATAGTATTATTTTTCATTAAAATGCAGTGTTTCATTTGACACTGAAGGAGCCCTGGGGGAAACTTTGGAGGGACAGATAGAAGAGGTGAATTCAGAAGGGAAAAATCAAGCACGCAACGTTTTCATCCTCTCCTGTGCATTTCATTTTGTTACCACTTTAGAATGTGATGATTCTGTTGTAAATAGAGGACTTTCCTTCTAGGGACCATGTTGGTAATCAGAGAAAATACCTCCTTCAACCTGAGGAATTAGTTCAGACACAAGCAGCTAATGATCATAATTTAGGCCACCAGTATGTCACTGTGGTTGAATTATTAATCAGCTACAACAGGAGAAAGAGAGGATGTAAAAATACCAAGTATAGTAAGCAAGAAATGAGAAGAGAGAAAGCAGGGAACTTTACCACCAGAGGATAACACAAATAGGACATTGTTCAAGTACGTTACAAAAGGAGAACATAGCAGCCCATATAAGACAGGTAGGCTGATTACAGAAAGAAGTGGATAAAAATATTAAAATTAGGCCGAAGTTTGCAAGTTCAAAATGTCTAAAGTTGGATACTGACATAATTGGTCTTGGTTTAGAGTAGCTGAGGCCCTATAGCTTTTGTCAAAATCAGTGCAAGCTACAGTTTTTCAGCAATTTCAGAAGTCATGAGAGCTCAGGATCCTCACCATATTCTGCTGACTCTGAGCTCAGTGGCCACAGGAATTAAAAGGCATTTCAGGTCAATGAAAATACCTGGTGGAGAGTAGAGGAAATTACTTTCAAGATTCTGTTTGGGAGTAATCAGCCTGCGGTTTGTAACTGGATCTGGCAGATGAAAGAAAAATGTGAATAAGGAACTCGAAAAATTGAGGGTAGCCTAAACTGGAGTTCACAAGATCTTTGTGAAGAGAGCTATAAGAGGCACCTAAAAGGGGGAAGAGAAAAGGAGAACAGGCTAAAAACCTACTTTCTAAGTCTGTAAAGTTTGCTTCAATGATGCAGTTTATGAGACATGTCTATGAAGGGCACGTGGCATAGATTCTACTCTACAGCACTTCTTCAGAGCAAGGCAGGGCAAGAATTTGGAAGAAAATCCAGACTACAGCCATCAAGACTGAAATTGGTAATATTTTCACAAACAGATGGCAGCTGCTAGCATCTATGTGAGTAATCATTGTATACACACAGCAGAACTAAAAGGAGAGGAGATTCAGATGGATATAACTATAGTTCAAAAGCATACTCATCTGTGTTCATGTTTTGCCACTTCCCTCTTTTGAAATGCCATATTAATTATGAAAAGTTATTTAAACAGAGTATGTTGTAGCCATAACTGTCTGCAAGATACAAAGCCAGGAAACACTATAGGTAAAAATAATCACAGTAACTCACCTGTACTAGAAGAGCATGCCTTTTCAACACATATTTCTGAGAAGCCATGTGGATGAAAGTCAAGCCAATACAAAGACTGTACAGAGGTTCATCTGGGTTTGCACGAAAGGCTTGCACATACTGTCCTAAAAGCAAATAACGGAATCAAAATGTTTGTTGTGAAAAGCATTCCTTAAGAATTTAAGGGTAAAAAAGAAAAGCTTCAAATTGGAAGTGTGAACTAAGGAATAGTTTAATACACCTACATCAAAATATACAGGAAAAAACATGAAAGAAAATCTTTTATTTTCAGCACCCCTTGGATTCTGAAGGAAGAATGCAGACTGTGGTGTAAAAATGTAAGCAGAAAACAATCAGACACAGAAGGCAAACATGGTCCTTGCTGGGATTTATATCCTGGAGGCCACACATCAGAAGTGTGACATTTGGAGGGCTTGACTGAAAGCAGTAGGTTTACTTCAAAGGCCTGCTTAAAACATCCAACCAACTTTATTTGCTGTTTAAATTGGTCTGTTTCTGTCCTTCTTATACCTTATTATCATTAGCCTTAATTATCTTTGCAAGTTAGTTGTATTTGCAATGTGTGCTAAACTTGAAACACGCCAGCTTAATTTTTATTAGCAAAACTCTTTAGCAATGCTTTGACTTGTGTACAAAATAATTAAAGCACCAGACTAACACTGTGAAGCCACCTATAATTTTCTGATATATGAAAAAAATTACTTTAATAAATCTTTTTCAGAAAAAAATCATTCACTTGTTACATTTGTTAATATTAGAACATTAATGATATTACCAAGAGCGTGTTTGAAACTGCCAGATACAAACGCATTATGCCCATTTAGGACACACAATGCATGATTATCAGGATTTTTCAGCATCAAGCGGAGACAAAAGCGATGGTGACGGACATCCTGAGATTGCATAGTAACTTGATTGAAGATGTTCCACAGCTGTGGTTTATTGACATTTTCCATTACCATGATTCTATAGAATGAAAAGTATATAAGAAATTACTAAATGCTATATAGTAAATACTGTACCTGCAATAAAACCTCAACAGTTTAGGGAAGATAACAAAGAAGAGACACTCAAAGAGCAGGTCAGTGACTGAGGCAAAGTTGAGAGTGAAAGACAGAACCAATGGTTCTGGCCAAATCAACCAACCTACTGCATTATGCATTTTTTTGAATCAGAGGCTATTAGAAACCTCCTTTCATTTCAATAGCCTTATCTGTTTTAGCAAAAGCCGAAAAGCATCAGCCTGCCTCCTTCAGCAATATTTTCAGCAGTATGATACAGCCTCAGTGGAAGCAGTTACAGAAGAGATCGCTCTACCTTCTCAGTACCCCACCTGATATAGTTGTACGCTTTTCTGAAGTTCTTGTCCAGAATTGCAGCAGAGAGCCCAAAGTATTCCAGCTCCTTGCGCTTTTGTCTATCATCATAAAATGAATAATATTCCAGTGAGGAATCCACTAGTAGCTCTGCCTCCTTGTACCGGGATAGGTCACACAAGGAATATATAGCCTTCAGGAGGAGGTTCCACCAGTCATCTTTTGTCAGAACACTCGTGAGAACAGCAAAAATTGCTAAAATATTGAAGTCAGTAAGTTGAGAAAACTAAAACAAGAAAGCTAAACTCTTAAAAAAAAAAAAAAAAGGTGCATATGTCAAACTGATCTTTTCAAAAACATCTCAGCATTAACAGGTAAAATAAAGACAAAATATTTACTTTTCTCAGTTTAAGTGCAGTTTGTAAAACAGTAGCAAAAAAACAGTCAAAAATTCGGGACAAATGGCAAGAAATACACACAGTTCAAGTTGTAAACATAGTACATGAATGCATTTAAGTTACTCTTTCTAATCTACCAAACAGTGCTTAAGAATGTGTAGCTTGGCTCAACCCAGTTTGGGCCAGTTAAAAAAAATCACACCACTTTCAAAACATGTATTTCTAGTATGTTCTAGATTTGCGTGTCTTATATTTGCACTGAGGAGAATGTTGGACCATATGATCTCTAGAGGTCCTTCTCAATCTGAATTACCCTGTAATCTTACTACTTTTCTCTGATTGGGGATTGTTCCTTTAAGTTATATTATCTTCATTTTTGCTGCCTTCTTTGCCCTAGAAATAAAGCAATGTTAACATGAACTGCATGGATTTAGCATGCAAAATAGTAACATTTATTTCATTTTTCAGAACTAAGGAGTTCATCTTGTTGCTTTGTTTTTAATAAACATTTGTTACCTTTCGCATCGCAATTTGCTGTCTCTTGGTCGTCATTGTCAGAAATTTTATCCCTTGACACCTTAATAAGATAGAGGTGTCTCTCTCCAGATTTGGAACTAGATATCAAACACACCTGAGCTCTGCTCATTGCTACCTAGAAACAAATTTAAGGGCAGCATTTCAGATTACATTAATACATCCTATGACAAAGGCAGCTTTATGGCCAATCCATCTTGCTCTTGTTGCATGCCAAAACAGTCTGCAACTTAGAAGTGCCACAATAAAGCAAGATCATGAGAGAGAACATTCTTAAGAGGAGCATTATCTCATGCTCCAGTGCAAACTGGGCTACGCAAAAGAAAGATACAAACTCTTTAAATTACTTAAAATACTTCTCCTGGGATTGGAACATCCATGTATATATTGAAATCAAAACTATTTGCACAGAGGCATAACAAGAACAATGCCTTTCTGTATCAGTTTCAGAAATACGTGGATGGTCAGCTATTCAACCAGTCTAAGACAACAGTAATGGCTCTGACCAGATGGATAAAATTGAGGTCTAAATATTCCCCTCCCTCACTCCCTATTTGAAAAAAAACCAAAAACCAATGAACACAAAACCACCACTACTGTATTTACTGGCTAAACAAATTCTTCTTTGGTCATTTTATCACAAGAAACTATTTAAAAAAATAATCTAAGAAATTCAAAGAAAACTGTTGAACTAGAAGCCAGTGTCAACACTTAAAGAAAGCACTATGCTGACTGCTAAAAAGGTTAAGAAGCAGCTTTAGTATTCAGTGTGTTCTATGTACACTGAGAAACAGAGAGTTGAAATCACTGTATTAAGAATTATACACACAAGTGGTCCGCTGCTCTGAACACTACAGGCAGGAACACCAGTATTATAGGCTCCCTGCAAGATTATTATCTAAGAAAATTATGAAGCAATATGCATATAAAACCCACTAGCTTTCCTTCTGAGTTTGTTTGTTGCTTGTCTTAACCCAACTCGTAGCTGTCCAATTTCTTAAAGCGTAGCTGGAAAGACTGGCTTACCTTCAACAGCATTGCCAGCATTGTAAGTAAAGTGTCTATGTAACCATACATTTTGCCTTGGGAATACAACAATGTCGAACGATGGAGGAGCAGCTTTAATTCCTAGATAACATTGAACATTATTATTCAACCTCTTGCACAGAGAGTGAGTTTATAAAACAAACAATTTTGTCTCAATACAGTACTTACTAGGATTGTAAAAGCTTCTAGAAAGCTGTAAGAATCTTAGCAGCAGCAGGTAAGGTCTCCCTAAATTGCCCTGCAGTAGTTACTGTTTAAAATTCTCAAATTTCAGAGAAATTTGGCATAACTCTTACCTACAGTGAAGGTGCTGCTGGAGAGAGGATATAGAACCTTTGCTACGCCATCAGTTACAATCAGTAGAGGCCAAACCATGTAGCTCATATGTAGCAACTGCTGATGAAGTTGATGCAAAGTGTTTGGTGTCGAGACTGGTTCTCAGTGGCCAAGAGCTTGTACATCACACAAAAGTAATCAGGTGGGACAGAGGAAATACTGATAAAATGGTCAGGGAGAAAGAGCCATAAGGACTCATCCCTGATACTCTGTAATGAATCATCTGCTGTGCTCTGAAGGCTCACTATGCTATAGGTAAGTAAGTCTCAATCCCTGGTCCTATATAGTTGACATCTTCGACTACTACCATAGTTTACCAGAGTAATATATCCTGAACTGGAAGCACAGAACACTTTACCCACCTGCTGGGCAGCATTAGCATCCTGAGCCAGTGTATCTGGATCATACATTGGTTCCAGAGCCTCCAGAGCTTTTTCAGGTCGGCCCAGCTGCTGCTGAAGTGTTGAAAGTGAGATTCTTGCATCCAGATGCAACGGAGCAAGATCAACAACTTTGGCATAGCTCTCTGCAGCACGCTCCATGTGTCCCAACGCCTTCAAGCACTCTAGGAATACCGTGAACAACACAATACGCTTCAATGGCAGAAAAAAAAAGATTCCAAAGCTTTCAACATAGTTAACGTACTTTTCAGATACTTTTTCAGTTAAAACCACGCAAAACCTGTATTATTAACGTGAAAATATTCAGAAATATGTACTGATGCATCCACAGTTTCATTTAAAGCATCATCAGTTGACACAGGATGGCATGCAGAATAGATGCTGCTTCACTTATACAAAAATAAAGTATTTTTAGCTGAAGTAAATTTCAATCTAGAAGATGAACAAGAAAACACACCATGACAGGGTTGTCATAAAAAATTCCAATTACAGTTTTGCAAATACCAATTATCATTCAACATGTGTATCTAAAATTCCTGTGATCTTAGATAAACGTCCCTGGAAATGCTCAGCATTATATTATCATCTCTCAGAACCACGTGCTCAGCAGTCCTGCTTCTTCTCACCCGCATGCCGAAGCCAGACAACAGCCAAGTTGTATCGTTCTGAACAGACAAGGGAACTCAAGAGAGGCAGTGCTGAGTTGTATTCTCCAACATCCAGAAATGCCTCTGCAACGTCCAAATACAAGTCACCCATTTCTTCTGGATTTTGTTCCACTAGAGTGGTCAAAAGAGGCTTAAAAAAAAAAGCACACAAAACACTAAAAGCACAAATAACAAACAAGAACATTTCTTTAAGGTATGGTTATTGGAAGCTTATATTTTTATGCTATGATTTTTATTCTATTTGCATTCTGAACTACACTTCCTTTACTTAAATGTTAGTTTAAAAGTGAAAAATGAAGTTCAGAATTCCTGAAAAAGCCACATTTTTCTATTCTAAACATTTCACATTCATACATTTCACATCCAATGTGTGAAACTGCCCATCAGTGAGGAGCGCTCTTTATGAAAGAACAGGCTTCAGATTTAGCAGGGCTTTAAAACAAAGTGAAGATGTGTTCCTTAGTGTTCAACAACTTTGCAGTGTAGTCCTGGGCCTGTCACAGCACACAGGCTGTGATTTAATGTGCTTTAGTAATACTTCCACTGGAGGCATAATTTATAAGGACAAAGAATAGTATTTCTGCTATTATAGGTTTGCTAGGTTTCTCTCTTGGGAGTGGGAAGGATGCAAAAAGAATCTCCACAGCTCTCTCAACGACCTCAGTCATATGAAGACAGGAAAAATTACTTGCTTTGGTAATTTGTTAGAACATCCCCCAACTTCTGAGTTGGTTTCTACTTACATTGAGCGGCTCTAGGATGTTCAAGTGAACCAAGCACACCATCAGCTTGACCGTGATGTCTATGGGAACGCCCTCAGGTATGCAGCAGCTGACCTTCTCCACAGCTGTAGGAAGATAAAGAATTTCTTTCTGAACCCATAGGCTTTAACAAGCACTTCACAAGCATCATATCCCCTCCAGGCCATGTACAGCTCCACTGAAGAAAATATATTCTCATCAACTCTAGCAAATGTTGGTGTAGGCCTAGCCTCTCCCCTTCTTTTGTATCTTTCTCGATAGTTGGCACAACTTCTTCCTGCTGTCTCTGATTCTAATAATTTCATGTGAAGTATCAAGTGCTGTCAGTCTGCATCGATTTCAACAGCAGGATCCCGTAGGATGTGCTTACAGCCTTCACCCTGTTAAGATGTGCTTGCTTCATAATGCTTTCCTTTAGCAATTTATGCATCTGCACCCTCTTCTCCTTGCTTTTTGAAGGAAATACCCTGTCTTAAGATAGTTGTTCTTATTAAGCCAAGTCCTGTGTACCAGGGATCTGGCTGTATACACTGTTAAACACAGAATGCAATCTGATGAGAATGCAAACATGAGACAAAGAAGTTACCCATGACAATGCTAGCAAATTAAAAGTTCACACAGTAAAACTCCATTACCAGATTTCCTTCATATGCAGCCATGACACCTCCTTAACTACGCTGTTTAAGTTCTCCTTCACTTTAATTCTTACACCAGTCACTCAAAGGGTGATTGCTATAACCTGAGAAAACTGTGATTTCCAACATAAGGCTTCCCTATTACCTTCTACCTCCACATCCAATTACTGCAAATCACAACAGGCAGATTAATTCATCATTCTCTGAACATCTTAAATCCCAGCCTGACAGTAACTATTCACCTGCTGATAAATCCTTACAAAATGAAAAATTTTCTTTTCAAAGTGAGAAAGCCCTGGGAGAATGCTTTTGGCTTTGGTGGCTGGCTGGTATAGGAAGTAAGTTCTGAGTAAGGAAGACAGTACACAAGAAACCTTTTCTGGATGAAGCCCTATTTCTCTGCTGTTAGAAATCTCTCCCCATTTTTATATGATTGCAACCTGGTTCCTAAGCATATAATCAGTTGATAACTTGTATGAAATAAAAAAAATTAAATTACTTACCTGCAGCATTGGATTCAGCAACTGGATGACTCTGGTCGTCAGTCACTGCCTCCTGGCTTTCCTGAGTTTCTACCACTGCCTCTGTATCTTTTAAAAAAGATTAGCAAATTACCCTATGTCGTGGTTTAACCCCAGCCAGCAACTAAGCACCACGCAGCTGCTCACTCACTCCCCCCCCATCCAGTGGGATGGGGGAGAAAATCAGGAAAAGAAGTAAAACTCCTGGGTTGAGATAAGAACGATTTAATAGAACAGAAAAGAAGGAACTAATAATGATAATGATAACACTAATAAAATGACAACAGTAGTAATAAAAGGACTGAAATGTACAAATGATGCGCAGGGCAATTGCTCACCACCCGCCGACCGACACCCAGCCAGTCCCCGAGCGGCGAATCCCTGCCCCCCCACTTCCCAGTTCCTAAACTAGATGGGACATCACATGGTATGGAATACACTGTTGGCCACTTTGGGTCAGGTGCCCTGGCTGGGCATGAGAAGCTGAAAAATCCTTGACTATAGTCTAAACACTACTGAGCAACAACTGAAAACATCAGTGTTATCAACATTCTTCACATACTGAACTCAAAACATAGCACTGTACCAGCTACTAGGAAGACAGTTAACTCTATCCCAGCTGAAACCAGGACACCCTAGTAGCACCAGCTAAGTCAAAAGTGACTTGCTTTTGAATCCATAATTGATTGGTAGCTTACTCTGAAAAGTGGACTTTTTGGTTTTTTTGAAGGACAGCAGAGCAGGAAGCAGTCAAAAAAGTTATAAAGCAACAGAGGGTGGGCAACCAAGCTCTTGGGTTGTTTATAAGCTTTGTCTTAAGAAATCGCATGCCCCAGGTAACTTGGCAACACTGTGTTATAATTCCTAGACTCATCATAGTTTTGCTTCTTATAAATCTGTTAAAAGTCTCTATCAGGACAGTTGTTCATTGATCAACTGTATTTTCACCTGGCTGAAAAAGCAAAAAGCCAACAGAAGTATTTTATACCTACATTGGGTTTGGACCAGATTGCTGAACCAACCAACCACTTTAACCATAGAACAGAGTGTCTGCTTGTGGAGTTGGCATGCTGTGATCATTCTACAGCCCAAACAGACATCTTCAGACTTAAGCAATGACTTTCACAAAGCAGGTTACTCAAAGACAACCTACTTTATTCAATCACAAGCTAATATCCCTAGATTTGTATAAACCAAAACATTTAAATGTTTAATAACACAAGTAGGGTTTATGAAGAATATTAGTCTCAGGTCAAAGGTTGGTATTCTCGAGTATAGGTGCCACTAAGCTTATCTAATTTTTTTTTCAGAAGCTATTTAGCTGGCAGAAATAACTGGTCTGATGCAAACACTCAGAGGAATGTTTAGAACTTTAAAAGGCCTCCAGTTGCCTGGAGAGCAGTCCTTGTCCTTAATGAGTCAACAGGGCTAATTGGACATCAGAGTAACTCCTTATAGAAAGCTGAGGTCGTGCCATATAATTAATTAAAAACACTGAAAAGTTTCAAAAGAGAAAAGCCTCAACATGCATCAAAACACACCCATGAGTTCAAAAGGTAACAGAAAGAAAGATGTCATATTAGATGAACAGCAGGGTCATACTAACCGCTTGTTAGCTACTTACCTTTTTTCTCCTTGGTTGGACTTTTTTCTGATACTTTCTTTTCAAGTACAATTCCTGCAAAATCTGTAATAACCTGAAACAGATGAGTAACTGGGATCATTTTAAAGATTTAAAGGATATATGGAGTAACTAGCCCACATAGCAGTTGTTTTAGACATCACAAAACTTATCAGAAGAAAAGCTGCATTCACTTCATATGGGGTTAGTTGACTAGCATTGAGTTTGATCACCTTATGTCTTTGTCCACTATTTTTGGACTACTTAGATGATCCAATCAGCATCTCTTTAGCAAACACAACAGTTACTTTCATCACAACTTGAAAAGTTTTTAACCTTTATATCTTCTCTTAATGCCTTTTGGAAGACTGAAAAAGAAAGCAAAGCACCAGGTAAACAGCTAAGCTCTCCACAGATCTTTCTAAATTGCTCCAAGGATCCCTCAGCCTAACACATTGCAAGGAAACCATATGGTTTGTCTCAGTTAAAAGAAATAATTAAATAAAATTCACAGCTACATCCAGACATTTTACAACAGCCCTGGTCATACACATCATGACCTCAATAAAACTAGTATAATTCAGTAGAACAACTAGAAATAGAAACCAAAGACAGACAATTCAAGACATTCACTTGCCAATGGGGATCTGCAAGGGGGGAAATGCACAAGTGTAAAGGACCATCGGTCTAAGACCCAATGCAGTTTGGTATTTTGTTCGTGAATTGAAAAGTAAATATTTAAGTCATTACTGTTGCCAAAACAAGACTGATAAACACAGAGTACATGGCCCTTAGAGGAACATACCAGATAATTGTGTTATGATAGTTATTTTTTAAAGGCTTGATTTACCAGCTCAAATACAGTTTCAGCTGCTGAGGAACAAGGAACACCATCACAGGAATAGACCCGAGGAGAACCATCATGAAGAAACAGGGGAACAGTTCTATGACTGAGTACTGTATTACTAAATCTGGCAGCTAAATACTGTGTACATAAAATTAACTGTTTGATTTTTAAAATGGGAAGAAGTACAGAGAAGGGTCAGAGGAATTGTTTGCAGGTTCATGATGCTTTGCGCTGACAGAGAGCAAGCTAAATAAAATCTTAAGGAGAAAAAAAAAAAAAGAGGTAATTCAGTATCAGCAAGTAAGAATGTTCACAAGGAGAAAGTCCCAACTAACAGTGTCTCTTCAATCTATGTTGGAAAGTGTAACAATGGCCAGATACTAAAGTCTTTCCTCTCATAGCCAGACCAAATCAACTCAGAAACCTGCCTCAAAGGTGAGGGTTAAAAACTGCTAGAACAAATTGGGAACAGATAAGCAATCTTCTCCAACTCCTGATGACTTAAGAGTCAAGATGTATTGTCTTTCTGGAATGTATGCTTGATGCTTAACGCATGAATTCTTGGTTGTAACACAAGTATGCCAGATAAAGCACCACTGTCTGCATTTGAACCATTAGACCGTTCAGTGTCACCCTCTTAACCTTCAAGTTAGAGAATGCTCTTTGCTGGTAGTACTGACAAAACCAGCTCAAAGGTCTTCTCTGGCTACTAAGATTACGGCAACTGTAGAGAGGAAGGATCCCTGAACTTTAAACCTGGAACAGCACGCAAGTCTATCAGCCCCCAACTTATTAAATCAAGCCGTTAATGTCAACGCTGATTTCCATAGGACTAATAGCAAGGAATCTGAATCTGATCAGCTCTGTCACTATAGAAACATGACCATATTTAAGCACTACAGGAATATAAACTGTCCATCCTGACTGGCAAAGAGGTGCTGAACATGATACAGAAATGCATTTAATTCTCCTTACCGCCAATGCTTTGTCATACTGTTTGGAAGAAATATATAGTTCAGCTGCAATGTTAACATCTTCCATGGAGACAAGGCTCTGGTGTTTAGCAAAGGCTTCTTCTATTATCTCAATAGCAGAGGTCACATCATTGGCTTCATAATAACTCCTATAAAACGCAGATATGAGATACTAATTAATTGAGATAACTGACAATATGTACTTTGAACACTAGCAAAAGGATTTTCGTATTTCTTTTATTTTTCCCTATTAGCAAATATTTTAATTAGCAAGACTAAGTTACAAAAAACAGTGAGAAAGGGGGTGTTTTTTCTTTCCTTACAACTGTTGACAATTTTTATCTATTTCAAATAATTACTCCCCCCCCCCCCCCCCCCACATTGCGACATATTT